AGGGGATCGTTTCCATAATCTCATTAATATCGGACAGGACTTACGGGTTTAAAAGAAGTTCTTTGAATAATCTGCTGCTGATCTTTCGTTTTTGGCCTTGTGCTTTACCTCTAAAGTTTTCAAATTTTACATAAAACCTTCAAGAGGACTTTTTTTGACTGCATTTCATTGCCTTCAGTTTAATTGTTTGGTTTTATGAACAAAAAAAAAAATGTTATATATACTGAATAAGGGAGAACTAGAGTTTTTGTTCACTTAATCAAGCTTGAGCTCATAAATTTCCCGCTTTTTAAATGAAAGCTTCACACTTTCGCAGCTTAAATTATAAATGTGCTTATAAATTTCATACAAACCCCTATTGAAATGTCACAGCCATATTAGAGTCGTAAATCTGAGCTGCAGATTCGGCTTAGAGTGTGCGTCTCCATCTTTACTAGTGTTGGTTGAACTTGTCTGCAGCCTTTTGTAAAGTTCGGAAGCTCAACAGATACCTGCAGTTTAATCACCAATTTCCAGCTAATTTCGGATTTTATATCAAACGCAGGCAAGGATAGGGAGAGGCCCAGTGAAACGCTCAGACACTACAGCAAATTGCATTACTGCTTTCTTTTTTTCGACTCGGCAGGCATGAAATGAGGGTCAGATGGTTTGTTTCCGAATGTTCAGGGAGCGAAAAGCCAGCGGAGGCTCACGCCGGGGTCACCCATTCTCTTTTATCGGTCGCAGTGACGTCAGGCGGTGCCCTCGGGAAGCGAATCTGGTGACCCAGAGGAAAACGCTCCTCAAGGAGAGATGTGTTTGATTAATCGTATTGTTCCTGTCTGCTTCACCTTGTTCACTGGAGTCACCCTGGACGGAGCAGCCAGAACGGAAGCGCGCTGAATGTAATGAGGCTGGAGCATCCTTCCTCTCTTTCTCTGTCCCTGTCCCTCTTTGTAAACGCTACGGACAGACGTCTCATTCTCATTCCTGCCGTGTAACAAAGGGCCCCTTTCAACATGCTGTTCCCTATCCAAGCCAAGACTGGGTCAGGTTTGCGATTGGACGCAGCTCTCTACTTCTTCAGCTCCTTTCCCGTTTTCCCTGCTGATCATAAGACTTGTATTTCCCCCCCCCACCCCAAAAAATAAAAGCCTGCATTAGGCTGAGATGACTGACTCTCCGCCCGAGGGTTGCTGAGGCTATTTTTAGCTTGCCGTCTTCCCGATGCTTACCCACTGGGACCCAGAAGAGAGGAGGAATGAGAGAAAGAGTGGGAGAAAGATAAGAGAGGAGGAGGGGAGCTGCTGGGTAACTAGGCTGCATCCAAGATTGATGGGGCTTGTTGCCAGTGTGTAGGTTACCTCTCCCCTTGTTTGTGCTTTTTTTTCGTGGTGTGTCCCAGTCTGCTGCACACACCAAGGAGATTTTATACAACCGACAAAGTCGCACATAACTATGAAGCGAAAATGACAGTTTTATCAGTCTTTATCTGAACACAAATCACCCCCTCTCTGACACCTATTAATAAAACTTGATTAAATTTTCCATTAGATAACACAAAAACACAAAAAAGCAAATGTGAAACACAGTGGTGGTGGAGTCATGCTATGGTAGTGTTTAACCCACCACTTTATACAAGCGTTTACTTTTAAATTCAATTCAGTTTATTTATATAGCGCCAATTCACAACAAATGCCATCTCAAGGCACTTTACAGTTCAGCCAGATCATCCAGATCAAATTGAAGTTTTCTATCTAAGGAAAACCAGTTGATTTCATCGACTCATTGACTCGAAGGCAATCCCTCACACTAGCATGCTTGTATCGACAGTGGAGAGGAAAAACTCCCTTTTAACAGGAGGAAACCTCCAGAAGAACCAGGCTCAGTGTGAGCAGCCATCCGTCGAGGCCTAGTAGGGTTCAAGGAGACAGAAGCAGAAATACAGCAAGAAGCAGGAAACACACATCCAGGCAGACGAGCTCCGATCCAGCTCCCATTTCAGAGGATGAAGAGAGCACATCCAGCCAGTCACAGTCAGAGAAACAGGACTAAATTGAAAAAAAGGCACAGCTCAAACATCTATATATTAGACATGTCTCTCCAGGATGGTGTCACAGCCAAACAGGAACAGACCAGATAAAGCTACTATGAGTAAAAGCACAGACAGAGCATAGCGTTAGAGATTGAACTAATAAAGTGGGAGAATAGAGATGGAATGAAGCACAATGAAAAAGGAGTCACTACGTCCTCGAGCAGTCTAAGACTATAGCAGCATAAATAAAGAGATAGCTCAGGATAGTTATCTAGAAATGCTTTGTTAGAATAGCCCCTCAGTCAGGACCACATCTAACATTTGCACCTTCACTCAAAGTTTATTTATTTTAAAAAATTTATCAAATACTTTTTTTTTCAGTTACGTTTTTTTTTTTTCATTTATGAGATCTTGGGTACTGAAGGAAAAATTCTCAAACTGTTCATATGTTATTTAACATTATTACTATGAATTCACGCATTTTATTTGGAGTCTTCTTGCCACTTTTGGCAACCTTCTTCTTCATTTTGTTTTTGATGTATTCTTATTTGCTAAACAAACTTTAAGAGGCATGAGGGAGTTTTCTAATGATACTGCCACCTGTTGCCAAAACACAGAACTGCAGCACTCTTCTGCTTGTTCTCGTTTTTTTTTTTTTACTTTCCTGGACTTGCAGTTGGTGTCTGAGTTGAGCTGGATGCCAGTCGCTTCCCAGTATCCACAAAATCCATCTTGAACATACCGCTTCGATGGTTTGCTAGGTTGGACTCATTAAACATGGAAGTGCTTAAAGTTACATCCGCCGAACATAGCAGGAATTTACGACCCAAAGTAAATTAAGGAAAATGGGGTACAGACTTATAGATGCATCAATGCTGAACTACTGAGGTGTCAGTCTACTCATCATTTAATGTTTTAGTCGCAAATGGTCAAATAAAATGGCTATTAGATAATATCTTTAGTAAAAACATGCAAAATGTCTCTTTAGATTTAAAACTTAAACTTCTGTTCCAAAAAAAATGGATGGAAATCAATAAACCTTAGAAGAAAAACCCTGTTTAGAGGTTTCCCACTGGAGCAAACATAGAAACCATAGAGACTCCAATAGATTGGAGTGTATATTCATTTTTGACCCAAAGTTTAGACTCATTAGTGAGAAGTCATTTCTATGGTTGACACAGAAAACAAATGCTTGCCACACTTTCAAGTTACCAGGGTTTTTTTATATATAGAATAACACATATTTCTTTTTGCATTTCACATTTATGCAGATCTCTGTCATATAAGATTCAAATGAAGTGCATTAGTTTGTACATAAAAGATCCTCCCATCCATTTCCACACCTCTTCTTTCGGATGGTGCGGTTTGCACAGCAAGCTAATGGGCTTTCTCTGACCAGCCGCATGCAAAGACACACATCCGTCACTACTCTGAGCGTGCAATAGATGTAAAAGTTGGTGCAAAAACCAGGGTCCAATTACCCCGAAGCCACAGGTGTCATCAGACACAGATGCTCCTTATTTTCATAGCAAAACGCAGCAGTTTGTCATTTGAATAGGCAGGCCCGGGTGATATAACCTATCACCGATGCACGAGGCGTCTGTTCTTACACCTTCTCCTTGGCTTTTTTACATGAAGTCTGCAAACGAGCATAACCGCACGCGTGCGACCGCCCTCTGAGGGGCACCTGTTTGAGATAGGTGTTCTGAATGCTTGTCGAAAGGATCCCCTTTGCGGGATTTCGCTCTGCCTCTACCATCGAGGCCCAAAGAAGTCCTCACAGGGAGTGCAGGCGTGTCACGCAGGGCTGTGCGAGGCGAACACACAATCTGCAGCAAAATGCATCCTCCGGCTTCATAGCTAATTAAGACTGTATATGCGAGGCTATTCCAGAGAGACTTCCAGAAATAGATCACTGATAGAGCGGGCGGCCGCCTGTTTTCCGCTCTTTTAATCCTCCAGAGGGATTTCACATGTTTTCTATTTATTTATCTATTTTTATTTTTTTGTATTTATCTCACATCCAGAGGAATAATTGCATGTTTGTGCTCCTCAGATGTCTGTGATCAGAATATATATATGAAACAGGTGCTTGTGGTTACTAAAAATACTCTCCATGCACACAAGCAGACACACATTTCCATTGTGATTTTGCTCCATCTTTCCCCCTCCTTTATTTCCCCCCCCCACCCCGTCCCTGATGCATCCTCCTCCTCTTCATCCCGCTCCCCCTCATCCTCCGTGTCGCTCTCTGCTTTTTATAGCCATGTCTTCCCAGGACTCAGCAGCTACAAAAGCCTTTTCATGTTGCCACTATAATTACAGCCTACACACACGGACATGCATGCATGCATACACTCACACACACCCCCCCCCCACTCACACACACACACGGGATAGGAGCCTCTTTGTGTCTGCATGTGTGTGCAGCGTGCGTGCTCTGCATGTGCCGTTATACACAAAAGGGTGAGCTATTTTTACCTCCCCTCCCCTCTCCTCTCCATCGCCTCCTCATCCCTCTCTCCGCCGTCGCTGTTAGCCACATTTGCTATGCCGAGCACAGGCGCTATCAGTCGAGCGCCAACACCACCACTCCCCCCCCCTTCCTCACATACATACATACACACCCCGAACTGACACACAAGCGCTGATGAGCGCTCAGCATCCCTCAGAATCCAAGCTTATCTCAGAGCTCCTCTCCAGTCCAAAGCATCTCTCCCTGCAAAGCGCGCGGCAGCTTCGCTCTTCCCCCCCCACACCATCCCCGCCCCTCGCAGCTCATGGATCAAGCTGCAGCAGCGGTAGCGCCGCGGCACGTGCTCCCAGCTGTTTGGATGACCTGAAGCCTCCCCCTTTTCCCACTTTCATCATTTTTTTTTTTTTTTTATCGCGCCCTTCTACCAGTCGTCTGGAAGGGGGAGAAAAAAAGCCTCCGTCTCGATGCTACGGACCATATTTGAAGCAGAATGTTCTCTTTCTCCCACAGAGGGAATCCTGGGGAAGGAGCAGCCGCTGGAGGTCCTCAAGACATCGGCGCTCAACCACATCCCAACAGGTTGGACGATCCCTGATCCCTCTGTTTGTGTGCGCGCGCGCATGTGTGTGTGTGTGTGTGTGTTGGGACGTGATTTCACTATGAAGCACATCCTGCATGCAAAAAATATCCCTCTGTTTTTGACTTAAAGGAAAACAGCGGCTGAAACTCTGGAGGATGCTCCGTTCAACCATTCATGGGGGGTAGTTAGAGGAGATTGTGTTTACTCATCTTTTGCTAAATAACCCCAAAAAGTAAATAAAAAAATAGTACAATAATGCTGAATGAAAATCTGGAGCCATGCAAAATAAGACGTGTTGTGTTTGCTGCAAGTTCCTGAGTTAGTTTGGGTCTCAGAACGAATAGAAGCAACTTCTCATGCAGCTGAGTTCCCTTTTTTTAGGGTTTCGATGGTGAATTCTCTAGTTTTCCTAGGAATGAATGATGAAAACTCCAATCAGAATGCACCAGAGGAAGATGAAGCCGCTCTCTTCCCCCTCGGAGAGCAGGTTTGTGTTTTCCTCCCACTAGAGGAGAGTCTGATTCATAAAAATGTGGGCTCTCTCTGTACAGCAGCAGACTCACTTCTTCACATGCTGCTGGGGTTGTTTTCTACACGCCTCTGGCTAGGCTGATAAAATATTGAAATCCACCGGAGCGTCCTCATCAAATATTCTGGAAATCTGTTGTCTTGGATACGGGAGTTGCTTTTTTTTTCTTCTTTTTTCCGGGATCGTGTTTTTCCCAAACACAGGCTGGAAAATCTGGCAAGAGCATAGAGAAGAATAAAAAAAAATAGTGAATGGAATTACTCTTATTTGTATTCTCATTTATGAATTTAGTTTTGTTATAAAAGGCTTAAATTAAAGCAAAACTTCTTGCATTTATAATTTGGTGACAATCAAATCCAGAAAATGTGAATGGAGCTGAGAGATGTAAGTGAGGGAAACATTGTCCAGATAGATGTGGGGTTGTACACTTTTAGTAACTGGATACTGCTGGATGAATAGACAGTGGTCTCTTTTTGGAATGCAAAGCTGAGGTTGCTGCACCTGCAGGGAGTTACATGAGTCAAAGCAAACATGAGTTTTGTTTCATTCAAAGCAGCAGCCATTGTTTTTAAGTGCCTTTGCCGCATCAAACGTTCAGCGGGATTTATTTATCGTGGAAAATGAGCTCATGATTGCTTTATTCCAGGTGAACCAGATTCATTCAAAGCAGGAAGTTCAGCGAAAGAAAAAAAAAACAGATTCCAGCCCATGTGCTCTCTGTCCCTTCCTCCTGCGCCAGCCGGGCGGGCAGCGAGGTGTGACATGCTCGATTAAAGCCACTGCTGCAGAGGCGGAGATGGACCCCTTTCGCCTCCAGGTCGCTCTCATTCCCGTCTCCCTGCTGTTGGACTGCGACGCTGCAGATGCCGTTAAGGCAGCAATAGAGTCAGAGCTTGTTTTTTGTATTTTTTGGGTGATTTTGGCTCATGGCAGAGACCTGCATGATCACTGCCAGCTCCTGGCTCCACTTGTGCTCTGAAGTTTGATCAGAAACAGATTTTTTTGTTTCGTTTTTCAGCGTTAATCAGGTTTTTACTGCCTGATACCAGTTTTCCTTTCTCACCTTTTTTTTATTTTAAGAAGAAAACAGTTCTGCAGGTTTTTCATATCTTCTATTGAGTCCTAATGAGAGATGATCTCGGGATCCAATCAGACATCCCTGCATTATCTGCTATAAATATGTTCAGGGTTTGAGGAGCGCGCCTGAAGGGTTGTAAACAGATTGGTGATTTGCTGAGAAGATGGAGGAGGGAGCTTTTTTTTTTATGTCTGAATCACCTATAAAGCAGAAGCTCCTCATCGACCTGGAGGAAGCTCCTAAGAAGAGAACAGAAACCAAAACGTGTGGTTTCCCTTCGTCTTTCCTCCGACACGTCTGATCTAAATCGGGCTGCGGATCAAAGAGGATCCTTTATTTAGATTTCTCGGTTTGACAAAACCGAAACTGAACCCGCCTCTTGTCAAATAGGTACATTAATGTGTTGCGCAAGACTCCTGGAAGCTCCCCAGCTCTCTCCCCCGAGACTTTTTCTTTGTTTTGGTTCTGCAGCGAAGGTCCTCATATTATCCTTTATCCTGAAACACATCAGTAAACTGAGGTACGCGTTTGACGTCAGCTGCTTGAAGATGGGGCCAATATCAAAGTAGATCTTTTGTAACTAGCAGCCAGGTTGCTCCCAAGGGGCGAAGGAGGGGTTCTCATTGGCTAATCAAGCTTTTTTTTCTTTTTTCATTCCCAGCCTGGAGCTGCGCCACGCATGGCTAAGTTTGTTTTGGTGTTTAAAGCAGTGGACTCGTTGATAGTCGATCATGCAAAATAAGATTTTCAGCTTAACTTGCATCTTAACTAGTGTGTTTAATTCAGTTTGCCCTTCTGTTGGCTGGCTGCTTTAAGATTTTCGCTGCAGTTTTATTGTTTTGGTTAGAGGAAAGTACAACAAAAACAATCAGGCAGTTATGTATGCTTTGTAAAACTATTTGAATTGAACCTCAGGGGTTGAAAATAAATGAAAGCGATTCCTGCCTGGGGACATTACGGTTTGAAAGGTAAATACACACCTAAGGATTCAGACGAAAAAGCAGCAGCCAGGTTCTGCTGTATAATAGAAGAGAACATAGCAGTCTGCTGGTCCATATCAACAAAAAACAAATATATTATGTCCACAGGTGGGTAGACTACCTGAAAATGTAATAAAGTTAAAGAAGCACTACTTCAACACATTTCTATCTACCTAACTAACAGTAAAAAGTAGCCGTCCAATTAATCACTCAAGTAAAAATAAAGAAGTAGTTGGTAAAAAGGCTCATCAAGCACTGAGTAACTGTTTTATTATTTAAAATCACCTAAATCAGACAGACCATAATATAAGGTTATAAGGTCATGTTTTTGGACTGTGGGAGGAAGCCAGAGTACCTGGAGAGAACCCATGCATGCACATGGAGAACATGCAAACTCCATGCAGAAAGACCGCGGGCCGGGAATCAAACCCGGAACCCTTCTTGCTGCAAGGCAACAGTACGGCAAACTGTTCCACCGTGCAGCTCGAAGTCAAAGTTATACAGGATGCATGATGGAAAAGAGCAAATGATCTTCACTGACAATATATTCTTCTTTTTGTTTTGTTTTTTTACTGTGTATTACCCGAAACTCCTTGTTGTAAAAGTCTCAGCAGATAAAAGTAACCTTAAAATCAGAAACAAGATTGTTAGTTTGTTTAGTGAAACTTAAACTGTCTGCCTGTGTCTGATGTATTTTAGATCAAAATGCGTATATTCTGTTAGCAGTAAAGTTAATCACAGCAGGTAGAGTAGCCAAAGATTTTACTTAAAGGTATAGTAGAGAATTTTTTTTGAAAAGACCCGCCCTCTCCACTTAAAAAAACAATTCACATGCACAACCCTGTACCCGCTCCTGAGAGGGAACACCTATTAAATGCGGGCAAGAGCCCATTTCTCCTCATGCACGTTCTCTTTAAAAGTTGCTGTTTGCATCACTCATACAAGCTTACTTTCCAAAAGAAGATTTGCAATTTTTCAACCATGTCAGACTCACCACCTGGAATTGAAAATGGGCAAGAGTACGTACAATCGACAGTTAGGAGTACCACTTATTTTGATGATCCACCCGGAAAAAGAACATCCTCCACTACACCTTTAAGTAAGAGTAGCGAGACTTGGTAAAAAGTATGGTGCAGTAAAACTACTCCTAAAAGTTTATTTTTTATCAAAAAGTTACCCAAAGGTAACTAGTTGGTGCTTAAATCTTATTTTGCTAAAAAGGCAGAAAGAAAGCAGCATTGACAATAAAAGAGATGCAGCGATCCATTGTTTCAGATTGATATCTGATACCGATCCGATTCAACTTTTGAATGAATGAACCATACATCTTGCCATGTAAGTGAAGGCTTTAGCTTTGAGATAAACATTGTTTAAAAAAAACAGTTAACAAATGAACACAAGATATACATTTACTTTATATTATTTATTTAAAATTAAGCAACAAAATGAAAGAAAAAGCCGTTCCATGTAAAGTGCACTGGATTGAATCTCAGATATTAACTCACCGATATCTGATCTAGGTATCGCATCGGTACATCTCTAGACATTAAAGAAGAAATTGCTGCATTTTGTCTATATAGGGAAGGTTAAACTAGTCAAACGAACCATTACAACAAATCCAAAGAGAAAAGCAAAAAAAAAAAAAACATAATGGCTAAAAGAACCTCTGTTAACATGGTAGAAATTAAAGGGTACAACAGTAAACCTAGAAAAACTGAACAAGCCTTGCAAAAGATAAAAGCAAGAATTACTAAATGAAAAAAAACTTTTTGAACTTCAATTTTCCAACAGATGAGACCAACATTGTCCTCCTCTCCTTTGTAGATCTCTTCATTTTGTAGATTTTGAGTATAGATTCATAAAACATTTAAGACAAAGTAAAAAAAAAAAGTATGTAAATTACACCCTGATACATAAAACCCAATCTTTACCACCTCTGTTGCAAAAAATAAAATGTAAATAAAAGCTTTAGTTGTCAAATATTAGGTCCAGATAAATGTAGAAACAAAAAAATATTTTTTTTTTGTAAAGATATCCTCAGCCTGTAAGCATTCTAGATAGTTTGAAAGAGCAGCGCTAGAAGTTGCATGTTCAAATAAATCCTCAATCAGCCCTTCAGAGAGTTAGTTTAGACTTGGCAATGACTCTGAAATGATTCTGGATATGCTTACTTGTAAAAACGACATGGAGAAAGTCCGTTTATGTTTGCAGCTCAACCGCAAAGGCAAAAGAAGAAGATTGAACTTGATTTTCCGGCCATGATTTGGAAACTGCAGCACAGTTGGCTAAACAACCTGCTACTTTTAACACCGTTTTTAGCGTTTTCTTTAACAGTATGCCGGCGGAGACTGAGATGAAGCCAAAAATGGGGAGAGATTACAGGAGAAATGTGCTGCAGCGTGCCGTTTTTTG